CTTAGGACAACATATAGCAAAGCTACAGCTTTGACCTTCTTATCATAGCCATTGAGCTAATGAGGTACATAAGGTGTATGTAGACTCCTTGCAGTCTTCATCTTATGCTTTTCATAAGTACTTGCTGCCAGTAGTGGGCTGGGGGCTTGAACCAACCCAGCTGCTTGTGCAGAGGAGGTGGCTGTGTCATTGCTGCAGCCCAAGCACACAAAATCTGAAACCCAAATCAGGTGTGTCTTGGAACTTTTGGAGTGTTTTGGCTTTTTACCCTCCTTAGATGAGGATTTCCTAGGCTTCAGCTTTCTTGTGTCAAGAAATTACACAATATTTATTTAACTATGGTGTTAGTTTAATGCCAGAAGATGAAGGCGGCTTTCTTTCTGGAGATATAATCTGTTCCTTCAGTCAAATGAGGTGAGGAAAGGTGGGCATCTCTCTGAGGGTGGGAGCCCAGGTATTCTCTTTGCTGCACATCCATCACAAACTGCTCAACAGACTATGTAAGTGTGCTCACAGGGTGACAATGGGTCACTAGAGGGCTGGTTGGTAACACTGGTAACACACTTACCTGAACATGGAAATTGTACAAAGGCAGGCAAGAAAACCAGCATCAAATTGAACTACTTGTGAATCTTGTGTTCCTTTTCTTTTTTGCCTTCCAGTGTCTTCCAAACAAGATTGAATTGAAAAAACCCAAGTTAGATAAAAGTATACACTATAGTTCAGCTCATTTTGCTGAATTGAGTGTAGCAGTGACAGTTTCTCGGATTTAAGAGTGTCTGGGTTTTCTTAACCTTATGGTCAAAACTTACAGGGGGCAGTCTGGACTTGAATTGTCCATATAAACAGTCCCACATGCACTGCATTGTTCCACATGCACATCTGGTGAGTTCTTTGTCATTCCTAATTAGGATGCAGCTTCTTGGAAAATTAGTTCTTTGACAGTAACTGCAAGAAGAAACTGTGCAAATTTAAACAAGAACTGAGAATCCTACTGAGACTTTTATTAGCAACAAAATTATCTGCAGAATGTATTTTTCTTCTTTCAGCATTACTGACTCTTCTGATTCCAGACAGTGTTCAATCCCACGTCATTACAGACATACCTGGACATGGATCAGAGTTTAGAAGTAACTTCCCAGTCTGTGACAGATATGTCCTCAGCTATGAATGCAATCAATGCAATCAGCTCTTTAAGGTACAATTTAAATCATATCTGTGTCATATTTCTCCACAGTTCCACAGCATTTGTGACCTATCAGTGGTCATCCTTATTCAGCTGTCAGAGTTGCTCTTCACATTAAGAAGGAATAACTAAAAACATTTGAATTGTACTATATTCTGTTGAATCCAACTCAAGTTGACAATATAAACCTGCATTAAGTCAGCTAGCCAAAACTTACACTTTATCTAAACTATTTTCAGAGAACACAGAATAAAGGTGGAAGATATTCCTGAAACTAAGCAAACACCTGGGTGTGAAATCCAAACAGGTGTAAACGTAGACTACTGATCTTGTTCTGAACAAAACACATACACCTGCATACTTGCAGTTTAGCACAAGGAGGGCAATAACTAACAAAAAATACCAAGTCTAGCCCCACTATGGCACTTGCCATACTTCCCCTCGCATGCAATAATTGACATTCTTCTTTCAGAACTGCTGTGGATCAACAAGGCGCTGAAGGACCTACTTTTGTTCAGAAGAACCACTCACACACAATCAAGTATGTGCTTTGTGCCATCCAGATAGGACTGAATAAATTTAACAGGTTGAAATGTTATTTATCTGTGCCTTATTGCAACCAGATGGAACAATTAGAGGAAAAATATTCTGTGTACTTTAGGCTTTTATGGTTCCCAATACGGACGAAATTCCTCTGGCTGACAATGGTCCTGAGGAGGACTTATACTTTCAAACAGTTGCAACTCTGTTTTTGCAGGAAGAACACGAGCTGTGATTGACCTCCCTGCAATTATCTGTTCTGATTTGGATACAGAGAGTAAAGCTGGAGTCATAAAGTGGCTTGCTGAACACAGATACAGAAATGACCCTCTGCTGATGGTTCTACTTTAAAAGCTGAAATCCAGCATTGTATTCTTCTGTTTGGTGGTGTGTAAGCAATACTTTTGGATGTCAGGGGGAAGTTCTTTGGATGTCAGGGGTTAGTTCATCACAGAGAGAGCAGTGAAGTGCTGCTACAGGCTGCCCAGACAGGCTGTGGATGCTCCATCCCTGGAGGTGTTCAAACCCAGGTTGGATGGGGCCCTGGGCAGCCTGGTCCTGTGCCAGATCTGGAGGTTGGTGGCCCTGCCTGTGGCAGGGGGTTGGAACTTGATGATCCTTGGAGTCCCTTCCAACCCAACTCATTCTATGATTCTACATTCACTTCAGAAGAAGTCAGTCTGAAAGCAGACAGGGAAGTAAGCATCTTCATGGAGAAGGAAGTGCTGCATCTCTCTTCTGCACAAAGAAGCAGAAAATTCACCTCCTGCAACAGCACTTATCTGCAGTTTGCACATAGTGCAGCTACTAGTCTCCTACATTATTTCTTCTCTATATAGCATAATTGCACCAGACCCTTGAGGTACTGATCTGTGCAATTCCAGTGACCTGCATGGAGCTTTTGGCCCATCTCTATTAGACCTACCAACCTTCATGCATAAAGCAACAACATCCTTTCAGCCTTTTACTGAGCCTATTTATTAAGGTTGCTAATAAAATCAGTAACTCTAATCATGCTTTTGGTTGTTTTGGATCCTGGCTTGGCTAGAAATCGTTGGAGATAAACATCTCATTTCAAATAGGCTACTGAGCAGATGGTAATGACTTTTAATCACTAACAACATGAGGCAATTCTGAAATGATGCCCTGGAGATGAATGGTTTGGTACATCGTTCCCACCATTTTGAATGCTGAATAACCTTGCCCCATGAAGCAAGCCACGTGTGATTTATGCACTCACATCCTTCTAGCTAACTGAAATACTGACAGTCATTAATAGTCTCTCACATTTCTTCTTTTGGGCCCTTTTCCAATGCCCGGTAAAGTCAAAGCAAACCTCTTCTTTCTAAGCCTTCAAAGACTCCATCTGCTGTGGTAACAAAGTGTTGGGATTTAATTGCTGTCGCAGAAGATTGGGAAACCTACAAGAACTTGCTGCTCAGTCCTAAAACTGAGAGGAAGAAATAGCTGAAACCCATTTAAACACCTGTTCTCAAAAGAAAAAAAGAAGAAGAAAAAGGCTTTTGGTAATATGTGAAAACAGTACTGAGGTCAGACACTGACCTTCAGCTCACGCCCTTTGTCTGTGTCAGGGTAATTACAGTAGACAAACCATTTTGGACAATTCTCAGCTTAGGTCAGTCCTTAGCAGGCAGAGCAAAGAGGTTTATCACAGGCCCTGTCCACTGCCTCGTAATTGGAAAGCTGAGGTTTTGTTAGAATGCCTGTGTGACAAGTCTGCATTTCAGTCAGTGGGCTGCAGTCTCCTTGCCTGGAAGCTTGCTGCATCATTTCCTAACAGTAATGTTTAAATAGTTTTACTTGAGCTCTTACAGAGCAATCTGTGCCTAAGCACTTTTTAGCAGGGCATTTGTGAGACTATTTTTCAAGTGGTTTTCAGGCGGTTAGCCTGACTAAGCTGTATCCACAAGAGAAATTCCATCACAGTTTACCACATGCATTCCACACTGCAGCTTCAATTTTAACTCCACGTCAATCAGTAGCAAATCTGCTGACCTTATAAAAAGTATTTTTGTTGTTTGTTTGTCTGTTTGTTTATATTTTGTCTTATGGAGAAGAACTCTGACACCTTGCTTCTGTGTCCCGCAGTGATGGCCATGTGTGCCACTCACCTGAGAATTCACCCTCACAGCTTAAGGTAGCAGCAAATATTGCCACAGCTAGATTACAGATATGTAAATGCAATCTAAGCAAATAAGGCGCATAATTAAAATCTTGCATGATAGTTCCAGAGTGCTTATGTAGGTACCTGACTCTTTTAATAATAAGGAATGGTTTTGGTGGGAACCTCTAATCCTGTCTGCCTGTTTGTCCAAAAGACAGACTTCTTTGGTAAGAAGAGCCCATTATTAATACGTGTCAGAAGTGTGTCAGGGAGGCTGCTGGGCAGTGCTAATGCTGACAGCTGGAGCACTGGGCGTCCTTGGGGCTGCTGAGGATGGTGTGAGCAAGCACTGGGAGAGCCTCCAGAGCAGGCTGAAAAAGTGCTTATGCACACGTGGGCCTTGGTCCTGTTCTGTGCAGAGACAGCCATTGAGTTCAGCAGGAATGTTTGCTTCTCAGTCTCTGGAAGCGCTGGGAACATGCTTAGCTCTTAGCTAAACATGTATTTATTTCCCTGTAACTGTGTCTTTTCATGGTTTCACCTGCAGGCTCTTACCAGTGAATAACTGAAATGAATGAATGAAGCATCCAAGCTGTCAGTACTTTGGCACCAGGCTCTTGGCTCTCACATACCTCACGTATAACTTGCTTTAACGCTCTGGGAAGCGCTGTCAGAGAAATGAATCTGCACGAGTCATGCCTGAAGAAGAAAGCCCTCATGCAGCACTGCTGTGAGAAGCAAGAGCCTGCCTTAGTGATACCTGCTTGTAGGACACACGCGAAGGCAGGAAGATTAATGGGCTGAGCAAGTAGTCAGCAGAATATAATTCTTTTAAGCTGTGCAAGGAAGCTACAATGCTTAACATTGTGACGGGTGAGGGGGAGAGACAGCAGCTCTCCAAACCCATTTATCAGAAGGCTGTGTGTCTTTGTGCTCACGCCATAGGACAGACGAGTTGCACACAACCACAAAATACAACTTATGTGCTTGAGATTTGCAGTTAAAAGTTGGGCCATAATGCTGCACATTCTCACGTGCTGTAAGCACAGCTAGGAAGCCCTGATACCAGCACCCAGTACGATTTCGTGAGGGGCCAGATGGCGCATGTTTTGATAAAGGGCACTTAGTCGGGCTGTGATTGGAATCAGCTGGCTGTGCGGCCCAGCTCCGGTGTGGAGGTTGCTCAGTCGCGATTGCAGGCGCTCTGGCAATTCGCTATACAGCGGCTTCCAGCTCCTGCGCGCCCGCACGCAGCTCCCCGCCCGGCACCCGCCGCCCCGCCCCTCCGCACGGCGGACTGCGTTTCCCAGAGGCCCCCGGGCGGCGGGGCGGAAGGCGTGCTGGGTGTCTGAGCATGGCCACCGGGGAGCTGGGGAGCAGGTCGGCTGAGAAGCTCTTCTCCCTCAGCGGGCTGTTCGCCGTCTACAAGCCCAAAGGGCGCACCTCGGCTGCCGTGCTCAACCTGCTGAAGGAGAGGCTGCTGGCAGGTAGGCGGGCAGTTGGGCTGGGGGATCTGCGTGCCCCTTCCTGGGTTCTGAGGTCGTCTTGTAAAAGCCTTCTTTCCGTTTCTGTTTGCAGAAGCCGGCGTGCAAGTAAAAGATAACAAAAGAAAAAGGCAAGCCTTGAAAATTGGACATGGTGGAACTTTGGACAGTGCGGCAACAGGAGTTCTGGGTAACGAGAAGTACAAATAGAGATACAGAACGTGGGAGGTGCTTCTTCTGATCACTTTAACCAAATCCCCAGGGTATCTCAGCACATGGCTTGCGATGCTCTGGGATACGTGCAGCACACACTGTGGCTTTGGGTTACTGGAGAAGAGAGACCTGGCTTACATTTACTTTTTCTGTACTTGTGCATGCGTATAATAAGTTCCTGAACAAGTTGTTTTTTTAAGTTCCTGAAATAACCAGCTTGGTTGGTCATATATTGCTCACGTTCCTTACACAACATCCCACCGTGTACCCCGACACGTTTTCTAAATTGCCTTTGAAATTTATGTGTTATTTTTTGTTTGTTTTGTTTTTGGTTAAGCTGGGGATTCATAGCCATCGTAATTTTCTAAAGTATTTGTTCTTAATGTGTTTCTGGGATTTTGAGGGAACCTTTGGGGGTTGTAATACTTGTCAAATAAATAATGAGTAATGGCAATTCAGGTGCTGTTTTCTCGAGGCTTAGCACAGAAGTATTTTTCACTTGCTGTCCTATTTTGCTCATTAAAGAGCAGTCATCAATGAGGTGATCTCCAGAGACCCCTTCCAACCCCTGTGATTCTGTGTGTGGCTTTGCTTTCTAATCATAAAATCATAGAATGGCCTGGGTTGAAAAGGACCACGATGATCATCTAGTTTCAACCCCCCTGCTATGTGCAGGGCCACCAACCACCAGGCCAGGCTGCCCAGAGCCACATCCAGCCTGGCCTTGAATGCCTCCAGGGATGGGGCATCCACAGCCTCCTTGGGCAACCTGTTCCAGTGCATCACCACTCTGGGTGAAAAACTTCCTCCTAATATCTAACAACTAATCCTTCCCTGTCTCAGTTTAAAGCCATTCCTCCTTGCCCTGTCATCTGTGTACTGAATTTCTTCATTCCATTAAGGATTATGACGTATCAGTTGCTATTAATGAAAATTCAGCAGTAACTGTGACAATTGGACTGGATTAATCCCATATCATACACTGTCACCAATGGTTTTGTTGATGAGTAATGCTAAAATCTACAGCTTGCTTTAATCATAGTTTTGTAGCTCAACTTGGTCCGAAGAAGTAACAGCAATACTTCTTTGGTACTGAAATTCAACAAGTAGAGCATTTACTATACACAAGTGTATTCACTGAGTTCTAATAAAATGAGGAGATATCCACTGAGTTTTACTGTAATAGGAACAGTACTTCCAGGAATGTTTGTGGAGTCTGTTGCTAATAGAGGTTTACATGCTGATAATTGTTCTGTGTCACCTGTGAATGTTTTGAAATGTACCCCTCTTGGGCTGGAAGAGAAGCACTAACTTCTTTTTCCATCTTCCTGTGCTGTGTGACCACTCACCAGAGAATACTGTGTATCTGGCTGACGTGGGTGCTTTCACTTTTCAGGGATGTTCCCAATGAGCATGCTACTGCTCATTGTTGGAAGTCAACAGCATTGATCCAGAGGGAAAGAAAAATCTCTTGTCATCCTTAATTGCTTCTCCTAGCGTTCTCTGATATCCATCAGTCTCCAAAGCCAGCTCGTTTGGTGTGACAAAAAGTACTTGGGCTTGATGTGCTTGGTAAAGACAGAAGTGTATCACCTTAATATGCTATGGATTGATCCAGAAAGGCACAGAATGTTTCATTCCACTGCCATACAAAACACACAGAGAAAAATCAATGGTAGGTAGATTGGAAAAGACAAGACTAGAGAGGAGGGGGAAAGGCCATGTGTTGAGATATCTTGGGGATTTGGTTAAAATAATTAGAAGAAAAGGAAGAACATGATAGAATCAAGTCATTTATAAGATGTGTTCTGCTTTTTTGTGTGTGGTAGGAGGGCTTAGGAAGCTTTCTTTCTTCATGTATCTTAGCATAATAAAGTATTTATCTTCTGAAATGTGTAACCTTTTATTCTTTCCCATTGTTTCACAAGTTGCATGTCTACAACTTCATTCATATGAATTGCTGATAGAGTCTTGCTTGGTGTGTGGGGTGTACTGCAAATAACTGGGCAGTGCTTTTCATCGGAAGATGCACTTTAGAATTTCTTCTTGTATTTACAGCAAGTGTAGATGAGGAAGAACTTTGGAGGCAGAGATCAGTGATATGTATGGCATGAATGATGGGCGACTTATGGACCAGGTGGCAGACCGCCCTGTGTCCTAGGGAAATCTAAACCATTTATAAAAAGGCAGTGGTAAATGAGCAATGGTAATACTTCTGAAACTGAAGTAGGTATTTTTTAATCCAAGTTATGAGTGATGTCAGCGTGTTGCAAGAAAAGTGCTTGGTTATAAAGTTTTGTGTGTGCTTATCTCCATTTCTCAGCCTTGTTGTAGCTCTGTCTGGTGAATTTGACAGGAACAGGCTGAACTGAAGGTACACAGAGTTACAAGGACGAAGGCATATGTGACTGTAAAAACCCTGAGGAACAAGAGGAGAATGACTGAGAATAAGAAGTCTTATGAATCTCAAGAGTGTTAAGATTGAGAAACATCAGAGCACAAATGTGGTTTTGTTTTTCTTTTTTGTTTTAAATAGTCATTACTGAGCTGGATGCTCTTGGCTTATTGACTCAAGCTAGTACAAAGCTGATTTGTTTCAAATTCACTTAACTCCTGTAGTTTTATTAAGATCAAGGACAGTTGTTACGTATTCTTTAGCTTGTGTATGGAAATAATTTCCCCTTTTTAGTTCAGGAAAGGTGAAGGTGACCCTGTTTTATTTAATAGTAGAACAATTTTGGAATAATTCCTTAATTTCTCATTAGTGTTTTTTTTTTTTTTTCTTGATGTGACACAGTGGAGAATTTCTGCAATGAGTTATAGTAGATAGCATGGCAATGTTCTCAGGGCTGTGTTGTGGCAATGTATCTGACTCATCCCTGTTCTCCATCTTCCTTCTGTTGCCATTGTTTCTTTGGATTGCTGTATGTGGAGCAAATCAATAGAAAGGCTTATCCAAAGCAAGCACCTTGTTCTAAAAAGCTTTGAAGTAAAATGTAAAATACTGCGTTTTCCCATCTGCTTTTCTTATGGAAACCTGACTGATAATTACTTTGCGGAATACTGATTTAGGATGGAAAAAACAATGGTTTGTACATATACAATAATAGGGGGGCCTGACTAGGAATGATTTCTGACAGTCTGCTTGGACCTTTTGATTAATTTACTTTGTTGCTGTGACTTCGATGAACTGTTTCATTATGCTGTCTTGGCTGTGTTACTCTTTGCCTCTATCAGCCTTTGAAAGGCCCATTTCACTTGCAATGCAGTCCAGATTCATTATTAGTGAGCCAAAGCTTTCATCAAATGAGAGATGGGGTTAATTGCACTATCTGTTTCTCTGGTGATTAAAAGATAAATAAATCTAGGAGTCAAATTAAAGCATTTTGAGAACTAGGTGAAGCTTATTTGTCTTCTGCTTTAGACTTCTTTATTTCTGTAGTCCCATTTTTGAACATTAGAGCTTCTCTCATAATGGTGTTGAATAAGGGAATTGCAGAGCTGGTTTAGAAGTGTAATTTCTCTTTCTGTCTTTGCAGTGGTTGGTATTGGAAAGGGAACAAAATTGCTGAAAACTATATTGGCAGGTTCCAAGGTAAGGAATGCTAAATGACCCGTATTAGTGCTTGTTTGTTTAGTTTGATTTCTGTTTTTCTTTCAAGGAGGAGCTGCACCTGCATACAAATATCTGAAATGTCCAGTGTAGTTATTGTAAATAAGTACAACTGTTCCTGTGTTTAGGCTCATGTCTGGGATGCTCATTGAAAAACCTTTGTTTGTCTTTGTTTTGCTGAGGAGTGTCAATAAAGGATTAATTCTTATATTTTGCAGGAAGATAGCTATAATATTTTGTTATTTTCAACAAAGAAAAGATTGAAAAGCAATAATAAAAATGGCACTATAAGAAATGCTTTCAGAGGGTAATTGTGTATGATGGTTCAGTTTTTGGTTGTCTCCCATTTATGTAGATAGCAGAACTACGATTTAGCTTGCAGTAACAGATGTTTCTTTTCTCTCTTCTTAAATGCCAGGAGGCACCTTTTGGAATTATGTCTTGTTTGTGACAGTAGCTTTTGGTTCAGAGTCTGTCCACTTTAGACAGGTGAGCTACAAACACATGCACAGGCACATGCAAGGAACTAAAGGTAACAAAAGCCTTTTGGCTGAATGAGATAAACCAGACTGGGGCCCTGGCAGATAGCAATCTTGCTGATTGCTGCTTTTGATTAGTTGTGTTGTGTCTTTGGTGACAGTACTCCAGATTGTGGGTATTACTTACTGAGCAGGTGCATATACTCCAGGAATCTGCAAATGTTGATTCCTTCTTTGCAAGTGAAATCCTGTGGTTTTGACCATTATTTTTAAATGAGAATTTTAGGTAAGGCTGACAGATAGAGAAATCAATTAAGCCTTCCTATCTTGTGCTCGGGAAAAGTCAATAGTAGGTTCAGCAAATTGATAGCCTTTCTAATGCATTTTATTTTCCCATTTTTTCCCATTCTTTTCTGGTATGAACATCTATAGGTGTTAAAGTGATAAATTGATGTGGAATTTCATTGATACTCTTCAGTTCAGCTCAATAGAAAAAATGTTGACAAAAGAGAATACAACTAGGCCAAAAAGCTGTGGAGACTGATCCAAAACTGAAATGGCTTAGCACTGATATATAGGACCAGACTTCAGTCATTTTCAATTTGAAACATCAGTAAGCAGCTGGAGCTGGATTTAGGAAAGTGGAAAGTGAGAAGTTAGATGGTGAATCCAATGCGTGTTCTGAAAATGTGTTCTGAATGCTTCAGAATCACATTTCTTATAAAATGCAGGTTTCTATCTCTGAAAACCTACAGACATCTACCTTTCTTTTCTTGGCTATGGGCAGAACTGAGATTAAAATTAATTTGGGGTTAGAATAGATATTTGAATAGGGGAAAAAAAATTGAATGCAGTTTTAGAATTTGTAATTTCAAGAAAAATAATAGCAATTCAGCTGAAGTCAGCTCTTGTGTTTCTCATGGCAATCTGACCAGTGCTTGCTTCCTAATTGCTTGCACTTGAGTGACCAGAATCCAAACACATCCATGAAGGAGCATGCTACAGCATTGAATATTGCTTTTGTAGCAGCTTCTTTACCAGAACCTGCTGTTCTGGGAGGTTTCACCAACACTTTTGTATCCTCCTGCCCCCTTCTGCAGTTGCAGAATTCTTCTGGCCTTGGCATAGTTGATACTTCCATGTGTCATCCATCTGTGACCTTTTTCAGTAGACACCTGCCTAAAGCAGGCCGTTCTAGTTCTGAGGGACTATGGTTCAGTTCTGGAAATAGGACAGCCCAGCTTTCCAGGTCTAGAAGTGAGTTCCCAGCCTTCCTTAGGAAATGATTTATCTTATAGTGCTATATTTTCCTATGCAAGTCTAACCTTCTGTCACTTGACATCTCCCTTTTAAGAACTTGAGAGAGACATTGAACTAATTCAGCTAAATTAAGTCATCACAGGTGGATGTGTGAAAGTTCTTGATTTCATAACACCTAAAGCTCCTAAAGTGCTTCTTAAGCTGATTTTCAGAGTGGAAACAGCTCTGGTGGATTAAGTAGTTTCTATTGTTTTGGCAGAAGAGCATATATACAAGCTCTTTTGTGACCCAGTAGCTCAAAAAAGTTTAGAGATACTGCTACAGGACAATGAAAAGGTGACACAGAGGAGAAATGAGCAGTGGAGACAGTCTGTCAAGGTCCTGCTGCCAGATCCACTCTCCCCTGGCTTTAGGTTGGTAGAGGCTGTGTGCTTATAAGTGAAGTAAAGATACATCCCTACAGCAGATCTACTATTCCCCTGCAACTGTTCATGTTCTGGTGTGGCAGAGGGTGTGAGGCTGTGCCAGATGGCATGGCAGTCGTAAGCTTTTGTTTGGAGCTTGTCTGCCTCAGCTTTCTTATTTTCCATTTATACTTTGGTAACTTTGGCACACGATAACTCAGGAGGCTTGAGGAGGCTGATGCATCTGCTGCAGACAGCTGCTTTTTGGTTTTGACCATGCTATAATAAAGGCTCATATCTTAGCAAGAGATCTGATGCAGATAAATTAACAACTGTCTAAATAGGTTTGAGTATTTTTTTCTGAACGTCTTCTGCATATGCCATGAACTTACACTTTGATCTCATCTTTTTACCACTGTGGAAATTATAGTGTGTGCTGAAGCTTTTCTTTTATTCTGCTTATTCTGATAAAGATTTGGCTGAAGTGGCTGAGCGTCTCTGGTTAGGATTTATTGTTTCATTATAGGAATGTATCGTATCTTGTAAAGAAATAGTTCAGTCTATCATTGTTGGCAGCAGAGCTATGCTGACTGGCCAAAACGTATGTTTCTGCAGTAAACTCCATATGGTGACTCTGCCAGAGATTGGACTGTTTCTGTGTTTTTTTCCCTCAAACGTTGTGTGAAACTTTCCTGACTCTGTGTGGCAGCTATGAACATTATCACTCTATTTGCAACTTATGCACATTATACAGGGAGTGTTACTCATCCACTGTAGATCGAGTTCTCAACTGGTGCTCTGTTGGTTTGACCTCCTTATGAATTAATTCAAAACAAATAAAAATGTGTAGCCAAAGGCAATACCTACTTAATGTTCCAGATCTCATTGAATTCTCAGTATTTATCCAGAATTAAAAATATATGCAAGCTGGCTTAGTTTTTGTTTGTTTGCTTTATTTTTTTTTTCAAGTGATTCAAGTGAGAGGGAAAAGATGAATTCTTTCGGAGAAACATAAATACTGAGCATTTAATACCAATTCCATAGAGAATTGCTCTTCCATCTCATGTTTTGGGATTGGACTTGCCAGGACTTTTCTCACTGCATTGTTTTGGGTGTTTTTTTGTGTTTGCAAAATACAGAGAGTAGAATGAGGAACTATTTCTCGCCAGGAAAAAGAATATAATGGGAATGGACCAATTTTTATTACTGTAAATTGATTCAGTCTTGTGGGTCTTGAGACTGGTCTGTCTCAAACAAAATATACAAGTGACTTTTTGAGATGGACAAATGGAGTGCAGAATGCTAGCTACTAGCACCGTTTCCCAGGTAGTACTTATGTTTTAAAACCTTTTATCTCCTTGAATGTGCTGGAATGTAGGTACAGAAGAAATAACTGGGGACTCACCAGAAGAGAAAAATAAAGGAATAGCAATAAGCTTTGTTCTAACGCTTTCTGTTTGGAGATGTCTTGCAACACACAGAGTATTTTTAGGTGGGATGAAATAGGATAATTAAAATGTTTGGGCTTTAATACTATGTTTATTTTGTATATTTTTCAGTGAGGTAGCATCTGGGCTCGCCCTAAGCATTTTATTTGCATCTTACAGGTGTGAATGAGGAAAGGACTTGGCCATCCATCTAACTGTGCTTGAAATCATTGCTTCTTAATGAGCAGAAGGCATATCTGCTTTGTTTTCATCTGAGGGTTCATAATATTGTCATGGTCCAAAACCCCAAGAGCTCAGTGATATGAGGGGGTTTTGGTTTGCACAAGTTTGGGCAGGGACTACTTAAAATAGAAAATCTAATGTCAAAAGTTTAAGCTTCTACAGAATGGTACACTATCCTAAATAAATAATAATAAAAAAAATCTGAGTAGAGTAAAACAGAATCTCCAAATCATTGCAAGGACTAGAGAAAGAATATGAACAGAACAAGGATACATCAGTGATATGATATGTGACAACCTAGATTTACTGTAATGGGAAAAACTTTAGCTTCTATGAATCCTGGATGGGAAGTGAGTACCAGTTCATTGATCAGGCCTTCATACTTGTCATTTTCACTTCTACCTAAGAGGGCTTATTTGTGTAGGAGTAGATTGAACATCACGTATAAGAATTTTGGAAGCACAGAATCGTAGGATTGTTGGAGTTGGAAGGAACCTTTAAAGGTCACCTAAGCCAACTCCCCCTGCAATGAATGGGGGCATCTACACTTGATCAGGTTGTTCAGAGAAATGTAAGTTGCTTCTTGCAGTGTAATTTGTGGCTTAGAATTTCTGTATTGCAGAATTGTTTCTCCAGATGAATGAGACCAGATGCTACAAAATACAGTGTTCATGAAAAAGGTTGCCTCATGTTCCTTCCTGTAAATGTCTTACTGTCCTAAAAGATTAGGCTTTAATTTGTATCCCTTAACTTCTCAAACATAAAGGTTGTTGGCTGTCTCCAATGAATTTATTTATATATTTATTAAGTCCTTCACTTCCATCTTTAGGTAATTAGTTCAATCAATTAATAATGCATTGAGAAGAACATCTACTAGTCCATATAAGGAATAGAATTAATGAAGCCCTTTCTTGTGACTTCATTTGCTTACAGCTCGTTAGGCACCGAAGCCCCATGTGGACACTTTGGTATCCAGGAATACAGTGGGGCTCCCTCTGGGGCCTCCTTCTTAGTTGAAGCTCTAATTTTTTCCCCTCTATCTACCTATTTTCCTGAGATTTACAAGAACTCAGCATCTATGTGAACTCTATTCTTCTACCAAGAAAACTTGTGTGTTTTCACATTAATATGTACAACATGATGGTGTAAGTGCTAAATCTTAGGCAACC